TAAATGTATTCTAATCTTGAAAATTACTATTCGAATTCGATATGTGTTTTACGAATCCGAAATTTTATTATTCTTTTCCAAATCTAAACTTTCCGAACGTTCTAGATTCATATCAAATCCCATATTTCGGATAATAATTTCATTTTTATTCGCAGGTATGGTTGGAAGAAATGACCAATCAATTACTATGAAGCAAAAGAGAAACAAAGGGTTTCAAAGAGAGTTTGCCACACATCATAGTTTATCTTATTCATGTAATTAATACCGTTTAGACTTGTAACTTTCGGATAGGATTATCTGACCCAAATAACCTAGACCATTTGAGTAAAGGTAGTTGATTTAATCGTCTAGGTGTTGATTTTAAAAATTGGTAATTATAATAGTTGATACTCGGGGTACACAAATTTTCAAGAGTCTTAAAACTGGTAAATATTATGGAAACGAAACAGAAAAATATTTGTTCGCCGAACTTCTCGAATATGTAACTTTCTAAAATTGAAAATACTTGATAAGTAACAAACAAAAATGGTCATTTCCTTAATTTAAGCATTGGTTATATGTATGTCAACTGCTGATTTTTAAGTAGAGTTTGTGACACGTGACAAATGTTATTTTTTTGGATAAATGACTTTCTATTTATTAGTAGACTAGATTTGGACTCACGCCAAACGTGAGATTAAATAATTAAATATGTTTTAATCGATCTTAATATTTAGATGTGTATTATAATATTTATAAACGTGCAAAATGATATATATTTTGCATAAATATAATAAATTTAAATTTTGATCAAACATATTTTGATGTCATTGTTTTGATCAATTTTACATAAAAATATTAAAACTAATACAAATGTTATTTATTTCAATTTTTTGGAAGTGTAAAATCAATTTTATTATTTATGTAAATAAAGCATGCGATAAATCAAATGAATCTTTAGATTTTTATGAATTTATCGGACATAACAAAACAAAAATATATATTTTCTAATAATAAAATGTAAAAATATTTGTAAGTGTAGTTACCATCTGCAAATAAATAATGTTGTTACAAATATAATAATGAAAAGCTTCTTAATATATCTAATTTTACAAAAAAAGATGATATGGTAAGTCTAAATATTATATTTAGTTAAATTTAAATCTCTAAAACTTGTATAAATGGATTAGTGTTATAAAATTAATAAAAACATGTAGATTTCCACCACGATATATAGTTTTAAATTTTAATATAAAATTTTTTATTAGTTAATTTAAATGACATGTTTTTTAAAAATAATTTCTATTTATTATTTTGTTTAATGGACCATATTATTGTGAGTTTAATAACTTTCACTAAAAGTTTCTTAAAACCCTCTTAGGATGACACCTAAGATTTTCACATAGTGTCTCCTCTATTAATATATAGATGATATGTTGGTAGCTAATTACTTATA